CCAAAAACAAAGGAAGTTTCAGGTTTCAGCACACTTTGGGGACATGTTGGTACCCAAATATGATTTATGCATTGATTTATCAGATTGATGTTTATTTATTAGATGATTCCATCCAAAGCAACATAAATCTTTTTTTGTGAAAGCGGGTTCAGACAGTCCTAGGAGAAATTGGTGGGGGGGGGGTGCGGATCGGGGTTAGGGGCCTTGCTCAGGGGCACAACAGTGATTTCATTCAGTCAACTACAGAATTTGAACCCTTAATCTTCCACTCATGGGCACAAGAGCCACACATACATACACGTAAAGGAACCATAAAGAGTGAGTCACTAAAAAGTGAGTGATTGTGACATCAACTGAGGAATATTTAATTACTCATTGTGTGGGATAAACTGTTACAATTTGTGACAGAATCAAAGAGACCCGTATTGTTTGTTGCATGACTATTACATCATCAATTAATGTGCTGATTTTATGGAGGGAGGGCTCTGGTGTCAAAGATAAGGACAATTAGGTCCCTATCTCCTATTCCCCTCATCCTTTACACCTCTGCAATGTTTGATGTTTGTTGGATAATAACTGCAGGAACAAAAATGATGGAATTTGTAAAAAGTAAGCCAACAAAGTAATTTATGGAGCAGTTGTTATGATGGCATTATAATACGGCTTTAATAGGACCTTTTTTCACTGAATTCAAGCGAATCAGGGAAGCCATTTGCAGCCTTTCTAAAATATGGGGTGCTTGCTATTAAAGTCAGAGTCCTGCCCAGCTGGGTATCTTGTTTGCAGTGCCCACAATCAGTCTCTAAACGAGTTCACGTTTCATTATGCCCAGGCATTCTGCTAATTTTGCCTCTATGTACAATTGCATGGATTCTTTACATTGCAGCAATGCATCAAAAAGCCTTGATTTTAGCAGCCATTGTGACTTTAATTCAGCTTCTTAAAGATAATAACAGACAGAGAGCCCAGACTCTTAAAGTTGTAATGCTCCCACATCTCTTGCTTCTTTTTAATAGACTCAGACAACATTGGTATTTGAATAATAACACCAACAAAAACAATCCATTTAGGTAATGGGTTTCTATCTCAAAACAAATTTCTTCAATCTTAAAGGCTGTGGGAGTGTTTTAAAATATATGCTGATTTAATTTTATCCAAGTATAAAGTATCAAAAATATATATGCATGGGCGCCAGTGGAATAGACTATTGGTTGAATAATTTTCCAGCTTGCACAAGAACTGGTTCAACACAAGGTTGAAGCGTCAGGGGTATATCGCCGCTCCCCGTATCGTTTCTCATTCAAAACCATATAGCGATGCTTGGAAAAGCAAACATTAAAGGTGGCAAGTGCATTACAATAAATGTGAGACAAAATCAAGCAGATGCACAGCTTATATCAAATGATATCCTTCTCAGCGTGTGCTGAATTTGCACCCTCCTACAGGAGATTTATTTTGAAACGTTGAGATATGTGGTGTTCTCAGCCTGAAATGTGTACTCTATTCAAGAATATAAGTATTAATACAACAAGACCTTTCTGTATATTTGAAACCCACCCATCTCCTGGCCACTTAACCAGGACTGGGTCATACGGTGGCCCGGAGTCTATGCCAGGCAGGAAAGAGCGTAAGGAATGGGTAAATCCCAAACAGGACGCCAGTCTGTCACAGAATACACAGTCACACACAATCTCACGCTAACAAAACCTTCCTGCACGAGAAGCTTTTCTGCATTTTTTCAAGGCTTCTCATTAGGAGGAAAAAGGATGTGTCTCAGATCCCTTTGGGCCTAATGTTCTGTGTTCAGTAAACATTATTTCTGCTTCCTCTGTTGATGGATCATTTAAATAACTGACAAAGTTTCTATTGTTAAAAACACTCCAAAATAGGTTTTCTTTTCCCTATTATTTAGTTTATTTCATATGTACGCGGAAATAGGAAGTAAGCCAATGTCTACCAAAGAATTAAAAAAAAAAACAAGATCACTATACTAGACACTACAGAGTGCTTTACATCGTGCAATAAAATATCAATGAACCATCTGTTTTCAACCTGTCTTTTAAGAAAGAATATGTCACCTTGGAGTTCAATTTGGAAAATAATTTCCACTTTATGACGCAAGCCCGCCATGCTTCTGTGAGTGAATATTATTATGGTAATGTCAACCAATTTGCTGGCTAGGGGCAGCATACTCACTTTCACTACGTGACCCTGAGCTTTAAGAAGAACTGTGGTAATCCATTCTAACAGCATAATTCAGCTGCGTGCTGGTCCTGCTGTAGTATGTATTAACACAGTAAACTGTGTGGGAAGCATCACCAGGAACACTAATCCGCTTAAGTCATACTGAATTTTACACACCTTACATACTTGCTCTCGAAGTTTGTTGACTTTACAAAAAATGCCTTTGCATCCACGTTAGACACAGTAAAATAATAAACCTTTCTGTAACTTTACTGACGCACATCCATGAGCAATATAATGTGTTTTTTTTTTCCCAATGATTTTAATGAGTATAGTCCAGTAAAATGACAAGGAAAACAGTGAGCTTATGGTGGAAATAAAGTGTGACAGGATGCTACTATTACAAGTGCCATTACACAGCCATTTAGAATGAAGATCAGTCTGCTCTGCCCCCTTCATCATCGTCGTTTGGTACATTCCATACATTACATTAAGAACAGTTCCCATCCGAACTACTTATCAGATTCATTTAAATGAATCATACAATGGTCTGCCTGCAAAAACTGTACTTTTTTTCTTTGATGGATCAAATTTAGCAGTTAAGAAGTGCTGCTGAACTACATTTCGTTTAGTTTAGCCAAAAATATGGTTCATAAACTAAATAAATCATTACTGTGATCATGTATGCCCAGTCAGGCATTATTTTTTGCTACTTTAATTATTATTATTATTATTATTATTATTATTATTATTATTATTATTATTATACTCCTGGCTCCCCTGCATAGATGGATGGATGCTTTTGCTATTTACTTTAAAGATTCCAGGCAATTAAAAGGATGTTCATCACTCTTTCACCGCCTAAAACCTAAACACTCAAAACACTCATCCCTTTGTTTCCAGAGAAATCTCTCATCCTTAGCCTCTTGATCTTCCATAAAGGATTTTTTCAGATTGGTTGTAGGTTCACTGGCTTGTCAGACCATCTAATACAGGGGTCAGCAACATGGTGCCCGCGGGCACCAGGATGCCCCCAAGGACCACATGAGTCGCCCGCGGACCTGTTCTAAAAATAGCACAACTTACCAGTGAGCAGCGTCTAAAATTTAATTTGATCCTGTTGCTATTCTTCTTTAATCACATTTGCATTTATATAGATTTGAAAATGACAATATCTAAAAAAAAAAAAACATTTAAAACATGTTTATTATACATGAAGTTTCATAAAATCATACACGTGATCAGTGTCTTCATTAATCATAAATAATAATATATAACTAAAGGTAAACTGAGCAAACTTGTTATTTAAGAAGAGTGTATCAAACTGGTAGCCCTTCGTATGGCTCAGTCCCCGTGATGTAGCTCTCAGTTTCAAAAAGGTTGGTGACCCCTGATCTAATAGAACCCTGCAGTTCCACTTTCATTTAGCTTCTGCTCTTTCTCCAAAGTTATAGATATGATATAAATACTATGCACTGTTCATTATGAAAGATGGAACATGTCAACCTTCAAAATAAGGCAATGAAATATGATCATACTTACTAACAGATTACTTTAGATGTTATAGGCTGCACTGTATTTCAAAAGTGTGAAATTTGTGTAGCACATATTTGTCAATGCCAATTATAGCACGAGAGATGTCTTCATGCAGTGACCTTCTGAACCATTTTTTTGAGAATAAATGAATAAATGTTTTGAAAAGGAGTCGGACATGAGGTACAATGTAGTTCTTGTTCTTTGAAAGCAAACTTCTGTTTTTTCTGCCTATCCTTGTTGAATATTGAAAATAATACAACACAGAGAAAGAGAGAGAGAGAGATTTGTAATTTGTGATCTTTGTGGGGACTATCCATTAATTTCTATGGGAATAACTCTAAACACGGCGACCTTAACCCCTACCAGCCCTAACCTTAATCATAGGTAAACAAACAAAATACGAGACCTTTGTCATTTTTTATTGCATTCACAGGTTTTTTTTAATGGGGAATGAAAAAATATGTCCACACAAGGTAAAAATAATAGTTTTTGTCAAACCATTTAGACAGATACAAGAGTTACAAATGTAAATTAAGTATATTTCTGTTAAACCAGTAAGGTTTATTTTTATCCAAGCAAAACCTATGTACATTTCTCCTCATCAGTTATATATCAGTTAAAAACCAGTCTATCCAGTTCCAAATTTGACTAGATTTGGGAAATAAAACATAATTTATATTTGCGTTGGAAAAAAATCTCTAGAAACGTTTATATTTTCAACTAAAATGAGTCATTCGGACATCCCCAAAACCCGCTTCAGTGCTTGCGATCTTGAGAACACTCCATTCCGGTCCTGGGCGCGCAATCCACGCCGGGTTTTACTTCTCCGCTAGCTTTACCTCTCCTCCTAGGTCTCCAGTCCTGCATTGCTGTGCAAGCAGATGTTCCTTTACTAAAATTTGTTCGCAAGAAATTTGTATCGGGGAAGGTGGTGTATCACAACCAGGACAATACTGAAGACATCGGGAGAATCAGACTTCTATCCTTCCTCGGTGGGCGAAGCGGAAAACCAGTCCAAATAAATATAAATAGATAAAATAAATATATATTTATATATAGAGAGAGAGAGAGAATCAAGCAGTTAGCGCAGCAACCATTATTTACCACACCTGTGATGCGCTGTTTCTGAGCAACGAAGACGCACAGCGGGGATCCCGATGGGCAAAGTCCTGGCCGAGGCTGTTTATTGAAAGATCACATTGACGGGGAGGCGCTGGCAGGAGAAGCAAGAGCTGCGCTCCGGACATACCGAACAAACAGGCTACTTTCAAATTTGTTGACCTCCTCCTTTGTTGAAACTTCACCGTGATAATTACCATGCTGTTACATCTGGCTCCCTTTGTCGTCGTGAGGTCCGGAGTAATGCTGGTGGGGAGCCTGCTTCTTTTCGCAAGATTTACCTGCATTGGTAAGTTATTCATTTTCTTTATGTCAGCGGATCAGATTCGTAGTAGGCGACGGATTCCTGCTTTATCGAATGCATGTATTTCAATAATATACTGTGAGGTATCTGAGATGCTGGTGTTTCCCGTTGTATTTACCAGGCACTGAGAGTTGCCTCGCGTTTATGAAAGTGGCGTTAGTTTTATAAATGATTTGATGAGAATGATTTCATTGATGCAGCCGAGCACCATCTAATATTGACAGTCTCAGTTAAATGTGCTGTATTCTCGATTTGTTTTGTACCCCGTCTTTACATAAACCTAAGATTTAAGTAGAGACGACAGGAGCTGTTGAGTCTTTAATGCTTTGCAATGGTTGATTGAATTTTTACAGAAAATCTTTGTGCATTTGCTTGTAGGTAGCACATGGATTAACAGAGGATTTTTCCAGTCTGCATGTTTAATACAGCCGTGTCGCTGAAGTTCTCACAAGAAAAAAAATACTTGTTATGCCTTAGAAGAAAATAACGGATAAGTCTGGGAAATCAAACTTACATATTTAAACGCAATGTCTTTAAGACGGTGGCATCGCGGCTGCGCGAGGGGGTGAAAATCTGCAAAACGTCCGCGTTTCTCGCGCACCGGTGACTTGATGATGCGCCTTTGAAGAAATTCGGTGTTTGTCAGCGACGGAAAGCGAAGGCGTCTAACAGCGTGTCGCCCTCCGTCATGCCGTCCTGCTGCATTTGCAGTATTTCTGACAGCCGCACCAGTCGTGCTCTGAAGTAGCAGCAGAGCTGCTTTTCAGGACATAAGATTACAAGCCCGTGTGCGCAGAAGTGATACCATGCATAAGCAATCAAAGTGTCTAAAGCGAGTTAAAAGGACGGTCGCTGTATGACAAGCTCCTATGTTTACGGTGATTTTTTTCCATGCTAAACTATAACTGATTGCTCGCGTAATTTCTGTACCCAGATCAGCTATAAGACACTGCATGTGTAAAAGAAAAACCTAATTGAGATCGCAGCGCTATTACTACCCCACCTATAATGTGCAGTGAATAACTAGTCACACAGTAAGTAAACATCAAAACAGCTGGACTTTCTTCTTTGCTTCTGTATTTGTAATTAGGAGCGTAAAGCAGAGCCGTAAAGTAAACTTTTTAAATGAAGGAATTATTGGGTGTTTTCTATTTGTCAAACAAGCCTCTCTTAGAGACTGTTTTAATTAATTACTCCCGGCAATGACGGCTTTATCAACTCAATTCAGCACTGTGTGCTAAAATGTTGTAGAGCCACTATTCCCTTTGTTTTGAAGCTTACATTACCTCTGCAGAAATGCCGGAGAATGGAACGTTTGTATGTCCGTAAAACAAAAAAAGCACAGAAACGGTAATGTACAAAGTAACGCTAGTTTCCTAAACAAAAACCACCTCCTAGAAGTATATTTTCAGAACAAGCTTTTATTATTATTAATTTAATAATAATAAAATGCAATAATAAGAATAATAGTTATTATTTGTTGTTATTAAGACCTTATCTTGTGCGATAGCTTGGATTTGCAAGTGTTTATATAAGGGAAAAAAATCAGCTTTTGTTCTGTTAATTTGAAATCACAGATAAGTCCATTCACAGTGAGGGGCTGTGAATTTATAGAGGAAGTGATGTGTGAATGGTATCATAGCCTTCATATGGAGTATTTCTGCATACATTCCAGTCCCTTTCTGATCTTGTTAATATACCACAGACAGCACATTATTGTGATGAGCTTATCAATGTTATGCCTTGTAAAAAGGATTATTTACTATTTTAGCATTCAGTGTTATTTTCACATCAATACCATAAAGACATCAGCTAGATCCCTGCCATAGACTTCAGACTATCAAATGCTTATATATTGCTGGGAATTCTGCTGTGGAAAGTCCCAGCTTGTGTTTTTGTCAGGCAAAGAAACCAAATGTTGCTCCTATCTTGCTAAAACGAGCTGAACAAACCATGCAGAATTATTCCTGAAATGTGAGTGAGCTGCCTGATGGAATACTGAAAAGTGTATAGGGGAAATCACACTGGGAGCCTGCTGGCCAATGGCCAGTCAGATTTATTATTGCATAAAGGCTGCATTGCTCTGCATCATGTTAGTGTATATATATGTCTTTTATATTTTTAAGCTGTTTGTTATTATGGACACACTAACTAGGTAAGGTAATTGTGATAATTGTGAGTGCTACAGAACTGGGAGCAGGTAATACAGGGGGTAGAAGGGCTTTTGTGATCATTTATGAATGAATACTAAATTGTTATGATATAGTAAACAGCCTTGCTCCAGGAATGCTGTCTTTCAATGAATTCCCGGTACTTTTATATGGCATGTTGCAGTGTTGCACAAAAGGTGGATCTCAACTGTGAGATGAGGAACCTTAAAAAACCAGTCAGTGCAATAAACAGCCTCTGACAAACATAGGAAGTAATTAATCTATTAAATATGGGTTGGTTTTAGTTTTCCATAAAATCGATTGATTTTACCATTCCCCCTCAGCGATAAGTGAAGCAGTATCCATTGATTAAATATGAATATATAGCAGTTTTGTGTTTGCAATCACATATCATTGTTTTGATTTTTTTTTTTTGGAATTATTAAATGTCAGATTAACAGTTGTGAGTATAATGGCAAGTATTAGTGTATTCGCTGTGAGATATAATGCAAATAATTAGAATTTGCAACCACTTCCTGAATACATGGGTCTAAATGTATATTAGAATAAGATTTAAGAAGTATTTCCTTTCTGTATGAGGTTGAGACCAACTAAACTGGAAGCATAATCCTTATCCCACGCATAATGAGAATTGCTGACAAAGCACCCATAAACATCAAAGCCTTTGCACGTGACGTTGGATAGCAATTCAGTGGAAAAATGAAGACTTAAGGTAATCCTGTCATTGTACATTACAGCATATGGCAGCTGTGTTGAAACTTTGGGACATTTTCCTTTCCTCCATGTTTTGGGAATCGCTGAGGACTGAACATGAAGAAGCTTTCGCCTTCAGACGGAAATAAAGACCGTAGAGTGTTTCTATATCCGTGCTTCTGAAGAATGCACCTTTTTGTATCTGTGTAAAATAATTAATACCATGGACCGAAAGGACAGCCTCGAATCGTCTTTGTGCTAGATAATTATAGCGCCAGTAAATGCTGCTTTTGTTTTTAAACAATTTTTGGGGCTTGATTAAGAGTTTGGAGCTGAAAATGCTGGAAAGCAGATGGTGTAGAAGAAGATCGAGAAGAGTAAACTCTGTATGCATCCTCAGTGTGAGCTGCACATGGGGGAGAAAGGGTTAAGTTATGAGGGTTGCTTATACTTTTTTTTTCCTGAAGGATATAATCTATATGGGAAAGAAAAGAAGGTATATAGAAGAATGGTACAGTAGGCCTGCAGCTTTGGGACACGATTTTTCTGAGATTTACTTCTGATTATTATACCCTGGGACCAAACAGATTTTTTTTTTTGTCTTTTTTTTGCATCACTGAATCGTGAAAGATTAATATAGGCAAAAGAGAAACCGGAATTAGCATAAATTATTGTTATGAAACGAAACTGAAATTCGTCTCCCAGGTGAAAGAGTTTGCTGTAGATGTCTTATAAGAAACACACACAACACAGAGAAAGGCAACATGGGGGCTCGCTGTCTCGCACCTCCAGGGTTGGGATTTGCATGCTGTCGCTCTCCGTGTGTGAGGAGTTTGCGTGTTCTCCCCGTGTCACACAGATTTCCTTCGGGTAATCAGGTTCCCTCCCGCTAACCAACCTCTCAATTGCCATCAGCCTGTGGTCATGAGTGTGAATGTATGTCCCCTGTGATGCAGTCTCACCCCGTCCAGCGTGTCAAGCCTGTGTCCCGTGCACCTCCCCCAAGTGCCCCCACCCCCCACATCCCTGACCAGGACAAGTGGTTGGAAGATGGGTCACTGGATTTGCAAATGAAGTGAACCCCCCCCCCAAAAAATAAAAAAATAAAAAATGTAGTTCCTCTTGTTGTAAGCAATGACTTCATATTCTGCATGCAGGAATCAAATTTTACATAAAATTATTTCCTTTTCTTACCCTCAGTAGCAACTCAATGAATTTACATGATATATAAGGCAGGAAAAACCAGTAAGCAATGGGGAATTGCATATCAGGGTAAAAATGGGAAAAATTAAGAGGAAAAATGGCAGATTTCTCTGGCGATCAAGCTGTGATTTCGGGTTTTGTTGTGCGTTTTGAATCGGAATGGCAGACTGATGGAGATCGGTGATTACCACTTTCAGGCATGTAATTTACCATTTTCGTGCATTAGGGTCTTATTGTCTTTGCGTGAATTAGCCACAAATATACATTCTTTCCAAAGAAAAAAGATTTTTTACCACATTTTTTTTCACCTGCATGAAATACTACACAATAAATAAGGGTAACTCGTGCTGCAGGTCAGGTGAAAAACAATGCAAAATGCATTCCTCAGTACTTCATATGCCTGTTTTCTTCCTTCTCCGAGTAATGGTACTGGGAATGAGGGGGCAGAGAGGTGGCTGAGAGGATCAGCTGGCTGTCTGGTTTTCCTCAGCAGGCCAAAAAGAGCTTTGCTGCACACAGAGTCTGTTACAAAGTCCACCTCCTTTCCCCCGTGTGTCTGCCTTGAGAGCACTGAACGCCTCCAGTATTAATTTTTCCTATTCGGGTGAAAACGCTGCCGATTATTGGGGCAGCGCGCCTAAAGGCGGCATAGTGGGACTTGCACCGAAGTCCTGCGGCTGGCCACCATGGAGAAGCTGCACTTTTTAATAGCTGCCCCTTCTGTGACGCTACATTCACGCAATTCCTGCAGCAACGGGACTGTCAACTTGAGGCGCAAAATAGGATTTTTTTGGATTCCAACGGCATGGGAGACTAGAATTTGCTTGAAATGGGATGATAGGACATGGATGGGTATTTATGGATATGTGTTTCTGCATCTCCTACAACAGCAGCTGCCACTGATCTGGAAGTATATTT